TGGCATTATTTTTGCCTAATTCTCGCAACATGAGTTCTCCGACACTTTGAATACACTGTGCCACATGACCCTGATGGTCATTTATTATGTCAGAAGTACCATTTTTGCTTTTGCCTTTAGACATTTGCGCTTGACTCGTTTGAGTGGAACTCGAGACAATGTCGTTCACAGTCTGAACTTCACACTCAAACGTCTCAATTTCATCAGTCTGGGAATAAACAGCCACGTCCTGCTTTGTCTGTTTCGATTTGAAGCTCGCACTGCCTAGTGTCACATCTTGAAACATTTTGCCTCAGTACCTTTAATTCCAGAGTGTACACTGTTGCACGCGCCTTTTCGTGGCATAGATATGCCAATGGTACTTTTGTAACAGAGACCAATACCATTTATATTGTGCTCATTTTCAAGCAAAAGTATTGAAAATTGTTTATCTACAATGCAATAATTGCTTCTACCACGAAGGAGTAGCCGATTCTTCACAACTTTCTCCACAACCTACACCATCCGAAGATACAATATTGGAAGTCTTACCACGCATAGCTGCACGGAACAAATCAGCTTTATAGCGTTTGAAGAGTGCTTGGAGCCCACCACCGTTTAGAAATGCTTCTTCCAGTTGCGTGAGTGAGAAAGCCACTTGATGATCTTTGACAGTCACCACTCGATTACGCAAATCAATCGTCACTTCCTCGCCTTCGTCCGCTAATTCGTGAAATTTCTCATCCGTCACAACAATACCGAGCAATGCATTATTGGGCTGATTGCGAGCGTAAATGTACGCAAAAGACTTGGCAATCACCGCTTGAACGCCCACAGCTTTAAGACAAATGGCCGCTTCTTCGCGAGAAGAACCACTGCCAAAAGCCGAACCAGCAACAATAATATTGTAGCCTTCTTTAACTTTTTGTGGAAATTCGGGACGTACATAGGCAAAAGATTTCGCAGCAAGAACGTCAAGTTCTGTCTCACAGTCCGCAGGCCATAAAGGTGACGATTTATTGAGACCCATAAATTGGGCCGGAATGACAGCATCCGTGTCAATATTGTCCCCAAATTTTTGCACCTTCCCACTAAATTTTATAGGCAACCCTGCTTCTAATTCTGCCACAGCAGCTTGTTCTTTCGCCTGAAATACACTTTCGTCTTCGGCTTCCGAAACAAGAACCGGTTTTGGGTCAGTTACTGTGTAAGACTTTACCGTTTGAATCGGTAAAGTTGTTGAATTTGGGTCTACCCAGTCGCGATACCGATTAAAATCGTCCTTATTGATCTTGTTCAAGTATGGACGTGGATCGACTACCTCCATGTCAAAGCTCGATGATGCAACGACAGCAGCAGAACTCAAATGACCAATGGATCCTTTACCCATTCGATTACGAAAATTGCGATTTTGACTCGATAGCCAAACTTCACCTTCACCAGCGACATCGGCACCAATACCGACACAAAAACTACAACTCGGTACACCAACGGTAAATCCTGCCTCTTCATAGATACGAATTAGACCTAATTCTTTAAGTCGATTAATTATCTCGAGACTTCCAGGTGTAACACGACGTTGGCCATTCTTTGATGGACGTTTACCTTCTAGCATCGCTTGTTGCAAGACCATAGCACCTAAGATCAAATCCTCTTGTGTAGTGGTACATGCACCAATAAAACATCCATCAAGCTTCATTCCAAGCTTTTCTTCAACACTCACACAATTGTCAGGAGATGGATATAAAGCTAAAATTGGTTTGACATCTGCAAGATTTATCACATGGTGAGCTGCATACTTGCATCCATCATCAGGTTCAAAGAATAAGGCTTCATCATAGTGTGACTCTCTTTTCTCTAAAACTCGCTGGGTGATAGCATCCGCTTGAAATACACCTGCAATACCACCGAATTCCGTACTCATGTTGGCTATAGCAAAGCGTGCGTCATCTGACAGATACTGAAGTCCTGTACCTCCATAGTAAACAGCACGTTCAAATGCTACAGTATTACGTTTTAATTCGCCAAGAATGTAAAGAATCACATCTTTTCCACCAATTCCAAAACCAGGGGCACCCACAAACTCAATAAAACAAACTTCAGGGACTTTAAACCATGTCTGACCTGTAACCAATGGCATAACTACGTCTCCTGCTCCAAGTCCAGCTGCAAATGCACCCATTCCACCAGCACTACACGTGTGACTATCTGCACCAATGACAATCTGACCCGGTTGTGCACGCTTACGAGCAAACTCAGTATGCATGATCGTCGTATTTGCAGGTTGAAAGTCTGTAAGTCCATGAGTTTTTGCAAATGCAGTAGACATTTCAATCAATGCTTTTTGTTTCGGTAAGTGATTCACACGTGGATCGACAGTATGATCTAATGCCAACCAGAAGCGATCCGGACGATGTAGCGGTGGACGGCCGATCGCTGCGTGCATCGTGTCCATGGCTTGAAATGTGAGTTCACTAGCAATTGTCCAGTCTGCTTTAACACATAAGACATCGCCTACACACACATAAGGCTTGGAGAGACCGACAGCGTGGTGACAGAGGATCTTTTCGATTACGTTCATTGGGGAAGGAGGTGCCATTGGATGGAAGTTGAGGAATGAGCTGAGTGAATAACAAACTTATATTACCTGC